TGAAGACCCAGCAAAAGTTGTAATGCCTCTATAGTGACTAGTGTTAAAGAGGCCTTATTCACTTTAAGTACTTAAAAAAAAATTCATGAATAACAGTATTGGAACAAATTTTAAAATCTAAAATAAAACCAATTACAGTTTTTCCGCTTTGATGCGCATTTAGCTTAAGTGCGAAATCATCATTTGCAGTGTAAGTAAATTCAGCTAAACGGAATATACTGTATTTGGAACGGTCTAGGCTAGAAATAGTAAATTGATTATTCCTCTGTACAGTTCTTGAATAAATATTTCACATTCTTACGAGTACACCAGTGAAAGACTGACAACACAAACTTTGAGTATTCACCATAGCTAAGGAGATAGTGAATACTCAAAGTTTCATTGCACCTCCTTAGCTATGGTGAATATTCAAATTCTGTTTTGTATGTCCAAATACTTCTTCTTGCTGCTGCTGTCATAGGCTCGTTGCAACGTAACAACAATTTGAGGCACAGTTGTCAGCAATAAAATCAGCTTAGCCCCCTCCTCAAGCGATATGCGCATAAATATTGAGGTGATGAGGTGGAAGGAAATTTCAAAGTTCCCAACGTCAATAAAAAAAGGTGAAAATGAGTAAAAGGAGCTTACTCACGAAGCAAACAGAATGGATAACGCTCAACGATACATATAGCGGTCATATGAATATCTGCATAAATTCTTAAGTATCTACATGCATACATATGTTCATACAGTGCCGTAAATATAAATAAGGCAGAGACATGAAAGTGTACCCCGCTCTCTAACAAAAACCATGTACGTCATAATGTCATAAAAATTTTGAGCTTTTTTATTACATTTCTTAGAAATATTCTGAGCATGCATTAAAATTTAGAATAATAAAGTGCAAGTTTAAAGTAGCTAAGACGTACCAGTGATTTTTAGCAAATTTTTTTTTTTTCGTCGAAGGTATTGCTCTTTTTCTCCATACAAAAAAATTGGCGGATGTTCATACATACTTTTTATGGCAGAAAATGTGTGAACAAAAAATGCACATGGGTACTATTTAGCTACTTCAAGTTTGCATATTATTATACTAAAATTAAGCATACTCAAAAAAATACCAAAAAATCTGATTACAAAGTTTCAAATTTGGATAAACATTCCACAGTTCTACAAAGTTTGAAATCTTGACTTACATAATTTTTTCGGTAAGCAATACTTTCATAAAAAATAATAAAAAATTTTAAACAAAGAAAATTAGTCAAAACTTGCTAAAATATCTCTTCCCTATTTACATTTTCGCCACCGTATTTACACTCATTCATACATACATACATATACACAGAACGATGAGTTGTGGTTAGCGCAATACTCCTTCTGCCAACGCTGCTGTCTAATGAATTATTTATGAAAATTGTAAATGATTTGAAATTCCTGCAAATTGCCCGTCATAATAGAACACCATTCGTGTTTGATGTGTAAGTTTTGACCTTTCACTTGGCTCTTATGAATGAAGGTGCCATGGATGACACTGATGGTCATGGATAAACGCTTTAAGGTTTTTCGTATGTTCATAACTATTACTGGTGTTGAGGTGGAGACGATGGTATTTACTTGTAGTACGGTGTGTTTGTTTCTTGTTTGATACGCTCGTAATAGGATTCGAGTTGTACCAAGCAACTGATATAAAGTCTTAAGAGCAATATATCATATTCCGGTTATAGCTATATTTATATTGAACTTATCTACTTATTTAGCGATGGCAACAAGGCATTATTTTACAAAAATCGTACAATTTTATGACTTCTTAGTTTAGATTAGGCTAAAACTTTTTTATAAAAAGAAAATACCTATGTAGTATATCAAAATATAGTCGAAACAATTTGTTATCTGCGATATGAAGGTTTTGAGTTTGGATGACTCACGTCACTAAAGTAAACGAGAAATTGGGGGTTTAGATTCAAAAAATTAGCGGTTATTATTAATTTTTCCGATTATATTCATTGACATTTCAAATCAATTGTTTTAAATATTAACATATATACATAAATTGAAAAACTAAATAGACAAAAAAATTGATGTGTGTTTTTAATCAGATCCACCTTCGGTCATGTATTTCGACCCGCTAATTCCGAATCTTAGGTCCATTTGTATACCCTTAAAATTTCGAGTAAATTCCGGAAAAAGGAGGTCATAGGACCGACGTATTTTTTTGTCTCAAAAATATCAAGCGCTCATTTCTTATATTTAAATTGTTAGCACAATTTTAATACAAAAGTACAAAGCTATCTTTCGAAGACCTAAATGTGTTCCTACAGCAAATTTTTATATAAATTTTTTGGGCTGAAAGAAAGACTTCAGGCGCAATTTTTCACATTTTTTTCTAAAAAATCTATATTAAATGTTTTTTACAAAATGTGCCCAAAAATTGTTGATCTGGAAGAAATTTCTGACTATGGTAAGTTCAGCCGATGGTTGAAAGTGGCGCACAAAAATTCAGAAAAATGTGAAAAGTGAGTCTTGGCTGCTGGCAGTTGGGCGATACTTCGATTGCAAAAAGTCGCATGACCGGTGTATTCTTGCCTTAAAAGCTTCAAGCGCGAATATCTCATAAAGTTCTCGTGCAATTTTTATAAAAAATTGTGGGTTTATAGAGCATGCCTGAAGCTATCTTTTGAAGACACAAATGTGTTTCTACAACAAATTTTTATATAAATTTTTTGGGCTGAAAGAAAGACTTCAGGCGCAATTTTTCACATTTTTTTCTAAAAAATCTGTATTAAATGTTTTTTAAAAAATGTGTCCAAAAATTGTTGATCTGGAAGAAATTTCTGACTATAGTAAGTTCAGCCGATGGTTGAAAGTGGCGCACAAAAATTCAGAAAAATGTGAAAAGTGAGTCTTGGCTGCTGGCAGTTGGGCGATACTTCGATGCCATATGAGTCCGAATCTGATGTCCGTTTGACTTGCAAACCCTCAAAATTTCCAGTAAATAGCGAAAAACTGAAAGCATGCAAAAATTTCGCAATTTACTCCAAATTTTGAGGGTGTACGCGTCAAACAGACCCGTATTCGGATTCAGCGGGTCGAAATACATGTTGGTTGGTGGGTCTGGTTAAAAGCACACACCACTATTTTTTTTATGCCGGTGTTATACACAGTTAGTCTCTGCTGGCTGGGTGTATACCGTTGGGGGCATCAGATTTTCCGCGAACATAGCTCTGTCAAGTTTTGTATACATTTAGTATAGCCGGTGCATACCCCCGGTGTATACCCTACCTCAACGCGTTTCTCATTACCCAGAAAGGATGTGCGTGTCAGAAGCTAATTGCGAATTGAACATCTTTTAACTCTCCATTATTTCTTTCAAATTCATATACATATATGGAATGTACATAGATATGTGTGAACACATCTATGCACATATGAACATATGTACTATTTATGATATTCAATATGCTAAAAAAGAAAATTGCCAATGTAGCATTTTAATTAGAAAAGCATGCGAATTTTCAATTTATTACATTTGATATACTATGCACTATGCAACATTGCATCGACTGCAATATGCGTTGCGGCAACATGATTCAAGCGTCACGCTATTCTCGCCACATCTCAGTGCTTTTAGCAGAGTACTATTAAAAGTACAATAACCCAATGCGTGATATACGGCCACTCATATACAAAAATACATACTTACATACATACGTACATATGTATATAATAAAGTGCATTCACACCCTGTAGTCAAATGTACCAGTTGTACACTACCTCACAACTAGTATGAACCGCATGCCCAACTAATCAACCAACTATCTTTTTTCCATGCAATCAACTGTCCAATTATGGACCGAAACCACTACTTTGGGAGTGAAAAATTAAAATGAATTCATGAATCTTATACAATAAAAAACTTACACATTTTTATTTAGCAGCCTTAGATTTGCCAACTAGTGTTAAATTTTTTGAATATTAATTAAAAGGAAAAATAAATACATAAATATTTCAAACTTTCGAACATAAATTTAAATGCATTTTTCGTTAAACGTTATTAAAAGTAAAAGCTTTCAGGTACAATAAATACTATATTTTTCATCTTTTTTAATAGTATTGAATATGCAAAAGAAAACCTTTTAGTTAAAAATAAAACGAATACTTTGGCTCATTCTTGAGTGAACTAAAATAAAAACAAAAGTTTTCATTCAAATAAATTAAATGCGTTAGCTTTGCACATTTCAGTCCTTTCTTTTTAAAATTTTATTAAAGTAATTTTATTAAATTAATGTTTAAAATTTGAGATTTAGATAAGAAGAAAAAAAATAAATAATTCATGCCGTTATTAAACATTCATAACTTTTGTCAGTAGTTTGCCTTGTTGATTGATAATTGAAATTAATCAAATAATTATATTAATGTTGTAGTTAAAAAAGTCAAAAATAATTGAAAATGATCAAAAATAACAAACTAATGATGTAATTAAAATTAATAAATTAATTAACAATTTTTTTTATGTAATTATTTATTTAACATTAAAAAGGTGCCAATATCGGTATTTAATCATTAAACGGTTATCCAAAAAAACATGCTTTAGTTAATAATCATTATGAATATTAATCATTATTTGACAGATCTGTTGTAATTGAATACGTAGTCGCTTTAACGGTTTACAATATACCCAAATAAGAGTTATAATATTTTGTTTAATTTACTGTATTAAACTGTCGAAGTCAAATAAAACAGGGGATGAATAAATCGTTTTGAACTCGGAACAAGTCTGGCCATTTTCGAACCAATTCGGCTTCAGTCAGGAAATTCTAGTTGTAAACTATTATTTTTCCTGACTAGTTTGGGGTTTCACTGCGGGGTGATAATTTGCAGTGCAGAGCTGTGTTGACAGCCAATTAATTTTGATACATTTTTATAAAAGAACATTACTTCACTGAGAGGTTGATCGGTGGGTTCGGAGAACACCACTAATACAGCTCTAAATTAGCAAAGCAAGTGCAAAACTTTTCACTTACCCGCTGCCTGCTGCCGAACCGCCTTGTCCATCTGGTGAACGCCGTTTGTTATCGTCGCCGCCATTACCATTTCCATGCGCAGCGCTTTCGACACCTCCTCCACCTCCAATCCCCTTCTGACCGTTTCCACCGCCGCCAGTGACCTTCGCATGAGTTTCGCCATTCAGCGTTGCACTCACTGCTCCATCGGCTGTCTTGTCAGCTGCACCGTCGACTTCGTACGCGTAATTCTGGAAATTTGCATCGTCACAGTCAACATCTGGCATAACTGATATAGCACGTTCACTAACCCGTTCGACGGTGGCATCTACCACGCCAGCATTTGGCATCGCCATTGCACCGGTTGTGGCAGCTGCAGCCGCCGCTGCAGCAACTGTGGCATGCTGCGTGGCTTGCGCAGCTGTAGTCAACACAGAAACGTCGGCCTCGATGGGCTGTGTTGGTGGTAGTGGTGATCTCTGTGTTGACGCAACTGGCATAACTGAGCTTTGTCCGTTTTCAGCATTCCCAGCCGCTGTTGATTCCTCGGTGGTACCCGATCGAGAGATTGATTCAACAGCGCCTCCCCCACCAGCAGCACCAGCCTTTATTCCCGCTTTATTTTCCACAACTGTAGCTACGCTTGATGTGGGCGAAGCAGCGCTATCCGACAATCGACCCATATCGCTTTCTAGACTTTTCAAGTCGGTGAGATTTTCGTGAATTTTTTTCTGAATTTCGTCTGTTGCCTCGGATACAGTCTTTTGTATATTCTCCAGCGTCTTCTGTGACTTCTCTAATATGGCAGCTGGTATAGCAGCCACATTTTCTGGTGTTTTCAGCTGTGCTCTGCTGTTGGTCTTCTGCAATGTTGCAGGTTTTCCTAAGAATTTATTTAAAGAGTGAAAGATTTTGTTAAATTTATTTAAAGATACATTTTCTACTAACCATTCGTTTTCGTCGGTTTAGCTGCTTCTTCAGCAACCGAAGGAATATTCGCCTTCTTACTGAGATTGCTATCGGAACGCTTCATACTGAGCAAGCTCATCCTAGAGGCCATACGCACAAGAGACACATTAGACGGATTCCGCTTCATACCAGAAGTAGAGCCACTGCTTCCGGTGCTACCCGAGCTAGCGTTCGCAGGTCTTTTGGTGGTTGTGGCGACCACGACACCGGTTGTCGCTGCTTTCGCAGCTTCCATTTCGATAGGACTACCACTGATTTCTCTACCATCTGCAGACTTTTCTTCTCCCGCCCGAGTCACTTCGCCGGGTTTATTGGCACTTTGGGTTCCCTTGGCTATCGCTGCGCCCATTTTATTTTCACCTTCTTTTCTTTTAGTTGCGGCTGCTACTCCTTTAGCAGTTGCCTTTCCCAGAGTTTTGGAGATGGTTTGGCGTTTGAGTCCACCCGCTGCTAGCGCCACCGCCGCTGCTGAGGCTCCCGCCTTGCTTGTTTTCGGCGCTGTCACTGTGGTTTCCCGTCGACCAACTTTAGCTGCACGACTGGGCGTAGTATCGCTCTTTCGCAGATTAGAAGTCTCCCGCCTGAGGTTAATACCAACGGGTTTTGGTAAGTTACTCGGCTGCTTTTTCACAGATGCCGTCTGTTTGTTCACTGACGATGGTGTGCGTTTGACACTCGACTCGGGTTTATGCACCGAGGTTGGTGCTTTTTTGGCACTTGTTGATTTCGTACGTTGATTTGTTGGAGTGCGCGTGGGTGAAATCCGACTCACACCCTTCGCAAGTTTTGCTTTTGCTGGCGAACTAGAACTAGTAGATCGTTTGCTGACTCTTGTTTTTGATGACGATCGTGTGGATTTCGTTACGCTACCAGCTCTCAGAGGTATACGAGATCGGGAACTTTGCCGTGACTCAGATCGGTCCCGCACTTTCTTTTCTCTCCCCCTACTTCCCGAACGCTTTTTGTTGGGTGGACTGAGTGACTGCCGGCGAGCTCGCGCTCTCCTGTTGAATACAGGGCTAACAGAAATCGATTTCCGATAATGTGAAGGTGTGGGAGACGGTTCCACGCTTCGTTTTCCGGGAATCGGTGAAACATTTCCGGCTACTGAGGTGATCGAACGCATACTCATTCTGGAGTTAGAGCGCGAGTTCGCAATTTCTTTCGCCATTTCCATTCGCGAGTTCGGTCTTGTACTGCTTCGGGAAGCTGTACGCGATATTTGACGCGTAGATGCACGAGAGGTAGACCGTGATGCCGGTCTAGAATTGGCACGCGAAGCTGATTGTGAAATGTCGGTTCTTGCCGTTGCACGGGAAGCAGTACGACTGGATGCACCTCGTGAGTTTGGATCGGACAAAGGCAGTTGGGCGGTGAACTCTTTCAATGGGGATGAAGATCTAGATCCTGGGCGGGATCCACGTACCGGTATTTTCGAAAGTGAGTCTCGCCTTGAAGTCACATCTGACATGGTTTCGGAAGGAGCTAGGGAACCAACGCCATTTTTCTCTGGACTTTGTGGCGTACTGCTGTCCTTATTTGGCGTACCTAAGATTGGTGAAAGCGTGGAAGGTTTAGCAATTTTTGTGCGTGATGTTCGACCACTAGTCAAACTAGCTGGTGTTATCAAAGATTGTCGTCGTTTTGTTCTAGGGCTTGGAGTTGGGAATAAAGATTTTCGACGTTGCAACTGTGTTGTCATCGATGGGCGGCGAAAACTAAAGTCGGACGTTGTAATAGAGCTTAAGTTTGAACTGCGACGATCCGAGGCCGTTTGTGTTGAGCTACGACGCTCGGGTGACGTAGAGCTGGATCGACGTCGAGTTTGAAGACCCCTCAATGGTGTCGAAAGAGGCGTTTTTAACTGTCTGCCTACGGAAAGGTCATCCATGCTGGCCCAGTTCGAACGCAAAGGTATATGGGAGGTGTCCCCATTGAGTATGCGTAGCAGGCCTTTTTGCTTTCGTGTTGGATTGGGGTTAGGTTTAAGTGGGCGCGGCAAAGCACCAGGGGGAAACACCGCAGGCTCTCGGTGTAGATCTGTTATGGAGCGGTTAAGGCGTGGTATAGAAGTTCGGTAAGGATCAGTAATTAACGGCAGGGCTTCAGAACTTTTAATTTTTGATTCACTTGCTGATTTGGCAAATGATGGCAGTGCTGAGGGTCGTCGTAATTTCGACGTTGACGTTAATGCCGCTGATGGCGACAGTTGTGTTATATCTTGTGATGACGATAACGACTCGCGGTGTTGCAATATGCCTCGCTGGGTCATCATATTCGGAGTATGCCGACCGGTCATGTTGAACTGCACTGAAGGGCGAGGAGAGTCGTCGGCGGGTCCTTGGAATCGCTGCTGAGGCAACTGTGGCAACTTGAGTTGTGTGGATGAAAGGGATTTTCGCTGCAAGTACTGTCGTGGCTTGGCGATGGGTTTTACAGATGAACTATTAGACAGTACTGAAATTTTTGAGGGCGAACGTTGTTGCTGACTGTACGGAGAAGGGCTCTGATTTCGGGATGACTGTGGTGTTTTTTCTGAGATAATTGTAAACGAAGTCTTTTTATGCAGGCGAGGTTGATCAACTCTATAAGAGAATAAAATATACATATGTATGCGTATTTATATAAATGTTTTCCTAGTACGTAATTATTTCATTACCTAAAGTCGCCTCCGGTGACTATAGAATCTCGCAATATCACAGGTGACATTTCTCGTTCGATGAAGTCTTGACTTTCTCCAGGAATGGGTGAAAGGAAATCCGGAGGTGGCGGTTTAGCCGGCGGTGGTGGCGTTCGAAAATTCGGTTCATTCACGCTCTCCAAGAGTCTCTCGCCCTGATGCTGCAAATACGCTTGGGGAGAAAGCAATAAATCAGTTTCTATTTCCCGCAGAAGTGATGGAGACGGATCTGGTGGCCTAGCTGGTGGCTGTAGAATATCCAGTGGAACCGTTTCTTGCTCAAATGTTTGTGTTTTATCGACAGGCCGTTCTTCGCCGCTGCTAGAGCCATTCGAATCGTTAATCATCGCCGCTACAGGAGAATGGTGCATGGGCATCTCCTCTCTTTTGATAGACATAATGTTCTTTGAACTTGGGCGCAGTCTTGGTATTTTACTGAATTCCGGATAGTCTTGTGCTGCTGGCCGAAACCACTCACTGCTCGTATAAGATTCATTTGAAAATTGGCGGGGAAATGGGTGACCTGCAGTAGCAGGCGGGTCTCCTAGTTCGGTTTCTTGAGTATTGCTAAAAAGAGGAAAAAATATTAAGCAGAGTTTTTATCAAAAGTCTCACACAGTGCATACCTCAGTGCACCAACATTGCATTTGAAATCCTCACTAAAATTGGAAACCCTTCGCTTTGCTTCGGAATATTCTCGCAGCCCTTTTGCATCTCTCACTTCTAATGACTCTACGATTTCTGTTACATCAGAGGCTTGCGTTACATCATACACAGCGGGACAACGCGTACCATCATCCGGTGTGAGCAATGCATAGTTGGGCGACTCGCGCGCCTCAGAGCTAGAGCCGCCACTAGAGTTCGGTAATATCTGAATGTCTGGCGGTTGAAGGCGCGGCATCGGCGTTGGCAGGACATCAAAGTTACGCTGAGAAGGAGTGTCAGAATTACGTTTGCTGAAAACCGAACTAAACGGCACATTGGAAAACAGCCGCGTGGTGTTTGTAGCTCGATCAGTTTCCAAAGATGCCAGACGTCCAAAAGCATCCTCCTCGGAGCCGGAGCTAATGTCCAATGACGGACGAAAAAGGGTCACTGGATCGAACTGCGTTGTGAGAAAATCAGGCGGTGGCGGCGGTGGAACAGGATCACCGAAAAGGCTGCTGTACTGATTATCCAGCTCAACATCGACTGAGGCGGTGCCAGAGGGATGCGCGCTACTGAGACGCGAATTCGGATGCATATGGTAGGCAGCGGTTGTGTTCGTGTTGGAAGCAGATGTAATGCGGTCATTGCGGAATTGTGATAATGAAGATGGCGACATTGTTTGGTAATTGTAGTCAAGTGGAATGATGGCGGGTGCGAGCGTTGATGTGCTCTGTGTGTTCGAGGAGGAGTTGGAGGCGGATCTAGGAGGATACAGTGATTGGTGTGTGGGCGTTGCGGATGAGGATGAAGATGATGGTTTTTGGCTCATATTAACATCGGATGATGATGACAGATGATGTGGGGGAGGAAAGATACCGATGGACTGATTTTACAAGTAAGCGTATAAATTTTCGTCTTCGGGAACACAAAGTCGAGATGGCGCTGTTAATCTGCAAATACATACAGAGAGAAAGTCAGTAACAAAGTTTGCTTTGCTGGAGAAATGCGTATATAAGTTTCAACACCTGTATGCATAGCCTTCGTTCGACGGACTTTGAGGTTTTCTGTGCTGCTTTTTAGTCGCGCAAAGGCACAATAATTTCGCAGTAATTGGCATTTGTGCAGAAAAGTTCGAATATGCGAAGGCATATGTGTGGTTCGGCGTGGGAAACGTTGTTAAGAGTAGTTGAAAGCGTTCGAATCAAACTTGCATGATGTTCACTTTGCAACGACACGTCGTACCGCAGATTCGCGACCACGGCTGATTGTTGTTTTGGTAGTTTCCTTTTCGCTCACACAATCCTTCTTCCTTCTTTCAATGTTGCTTATGTAGTAAATAGAGGTGTACGAGGACTCAGTGGCTGCGGGTTTTATTGCGGTATCGTATAACTTGCTGGTATTAGCCGTTATTTATTAGTTCAAATACTTATTTCGCCAAATCTACTAAATATTGGTCATACTGGTGGCTGACAAGTGGAAGGCCTCTTGGAAGGTATGTATGTATGTTTTCCAGCTTTATTGCTTCGGCTGAAAGTACAATCTGGAAAAAAATTAAAAAAAAATCGTGGGCGAGAATCGTATGATATTTTCTATATAATATGAATTATAAAATTCTAATGGCGACCGGCTATTTGAAAGTTAATTTAAACGAGTGGCTGACCCAGGCGGTATACGACCAAATCGCGACTTGCACTTGCCAACGAGCATAAACTAAATGCTGCAGATACTTTGAGTTGTTGGCATTGGGCTTCACTTCGCTATCGTCAATTAGTAACGTTGCTCATCGCATGTTGCACGTGCCCACGTACGAGTGTTCGTATGTGTGTGCATGTGTACTGAGGCAAATCTTGAAGATTTTACGTTTCGCTTCAAAGTGACTATTAGCTGCAGCCGCAGTTACCTGCAGCAATTTATGTATTTTTTTTCATTTCATTGCGTCGATATATGTGCAGTTGTTGGAATTTGCTGCTATCGCCGTGTGAAAGAGAGCATCAAATTTAAGCAGCGTGCACAACATGCCAGAGCCCCCACTATTATAAATTATCAAACAACAAGTAAATAATTAAATTATAAATTCAGCTAACAACTTAAAAAAGTGAATGCAAAAGGTATTAGACAAAAACAAAAAAACGAGCAGTAATTTTATTTGGTGGCTATAAGTGAAAATCTAATTTTACATTCTGAATAAAATATTTTCGGGAGTGTAGATAATAAAAACATGTTTTCAAAAAAATTCCGCAAAAGCAATTATTTTTTTATTTATTGCTATGAAAATTATTCGAACTCAATTGACATATATGAGCGAATCTCACGAGTTGTTACATTTTTTCGGTCGAAAATGGAGGCACACTTATCTTAGAAAATGCATTATCTTCAGTTTTGTATAAAGAACAAAATTCCAACGCGAAATTGTATTTAAATTAAAATCTGAAAAATGATATACTAAAAAAAGTAAAAATAACCACTCGAGCTCATATACCCGTAACTGCGTATGTAACGTATACGCCCCGTAGCACGATACGCAGGCATCTAACACGTTTTTACACAGCATTCCTTATGCACATATATGTATTTAAATACTTTTTTAATTTATTTTTCTTGAATGAAGTCGGCATGGAATTATAATTTACAGCTCTCACCTATTTTTTCATATACAAAAATATTTAGCCTACTTTTAGGCGTTCGAACTCACGACGGTTAGCGCAGTCGATTTATGCGGCTATTAATGCCGGGTGGGCTTTGCTGATTTCCTTCAGCAATTGACCGACAACTCTTTTTCCTTTTTTCCCATAAATTCAGTGAACGGTTGTCCGCTCTTCACTCACCGCACTACGCCCACAAGCGAACGCTTGTTTACTTTCATTTTTTTTTTCAATTGTTTTTATGACACATTTATTCGCATTTCTTTGTGCCACATTCGCCGACCATCGAAATTCTTGTCGATTCAAAGATAAGAAATAAAAGAAATAAATCTGGGTCAGAGCATTTATGCGTTTGTGTCTGCTTTAGTTGTGCGCGTGATGGGTGCTTTTGCAACTCCTTTGACCCTAATGGCGGATTAAGTAAATTATAGTTCATTACCGCTGCGACACTTTGCAATAAATGTGCACACACACATGCATACATACATATGTACCCTGCAGGGAAACCGCGGACTAGGGAATCAAATTTCTAGTTTCGTAGTAGATCTTCCAGTCCAAAATCAGTGAAATGTGGTAGTTAAAAAAAAACTATTTTATTTCACTTTTTCCATTAGAAATCCATATCCAAGGTGACGAATTTAGAACTGGTTCGGAACTGTAGAATAAGGAAGGCAGAACGAAATACGCTTCCATTCTTCACTTCGCAGATGCTTTTTCATAGCTTGGTATTACAAAACAAAAATTTGTGTTAACATTTTAACACCTTGGGATCGTCTGGAATCTAACGAATAACAACAGGCACCTCTGCAAACTCAGCTACAGCCAAAGGTATGTAAACGTACATTTCTTCCAATCATTCGAGCAAATTTAATTTCAAATTGAAAACACATTTCTTTGAAAGTAATTTAAAATCGCACACACGGGAGAACCAAAAAGATTTAAAAATCTTGATACTTTTTTCTTTCGTCTGTTGATTTTAGAACTGGTTCGAAACTATAGAATTCGGGACTAGTACGGAACTATCGTAAAAGGGATGCAGCCGGGGGCAATTGACACTTCCTAGGACATCGCCATGTCAAATTCGCCACACAAAAGAAATTTATCGCGCACCAGTTCAGAACTAGAGGTTTTCCCCACAGGGTATGTAGGTGTTGAAGTGCATGTAAACGAGCAAAGCTAAGTGCGAGCGTTTGAGTGAATGGCACACAATGCCATTAGGAGCGCTTCTACAGCCAAAGTGCTGGAGAGTATAAAGGACACCTGGGGGTGTGGAGACATGAGTACTGTTAGTTTGTGGGAATTATGACGCGCCACATTCGAGTTGAAGCTTTTAGCGCAGTGCCATGCTTTTTACAACACTCGCCGTCTCTGCTACAATAAATCACTCAAAATGTTTTCGCAGATTAAATGCAAATTTTTTGTAATCATTGCAATGGATATCCTGTCAAATAAATTTTAAACTTTACAAGTTCTAAAAAGAAAATGCCAAATAAGTTGTGTTTTAGCAGCAATTAAGCTGTGTAGAACAGGGGTTACCAAACTTTTTTCACCTCGGCACCCTTGTTGTACTAAAAAAATTTCGCGGCACCTCTACTCTTCACATGTCTACGAAAACAAGAAAACACAATGCAAACTTTATGCTCCTTTAGCTTTAATGTGAGGACTGAAATTGTTTTAATGATTTCGTTATTTCTTTTAAGTTTATTGGGAGCTTTGACATTTTTACCCTGAAATCATTCGACGCTGAAAGCTTGCTGGTGTATTTGTTTTTAACCGACTTCACAAAAAGGATAAGGTTATAAATTCGTCGGAATATTCTTTTATTATTTTTTTATATGTATGTTACCGCATATCTTTGGACCACGTTAACCGATTACTAGAATTCTTTTCTAAAGGAAACAGGTGACAGGTGGTCTAATTTGGTTTAAATCCGATCATTGGATCACGAATAAATTAACGATAATCTTAAATTCTTAGATGGAAATTTTAATTGTATGACGCTCATTCGATGAAGAATAGCGCCATTGTGAATTTCGCTCGGTTAGGTTGTGCTCTTATACAAATGTATGTAAATTTGTGCAAATCAAAATGAAATAAAAAAAAGAAACAAGAAAGAGTTTATAAAAGCGTGGTAAAAATGAGTACAACGGAGTTCTGGTTCAACGATTCGTCAGAGGAGAGAGCTTGCTAAACTGGCCAGGAGTAGAAAATGTTTAAGAGGGTTTAAGCGTAGTCTTTCGAATATATTTTGACATAAAATATATTTAAGGAATATGTTTATTAAAAACTTCCGACTACCTAAAGAAGCATTGGTGAGCCAAATCTATTTAAAATATTTTAAAACTATCAACAGCTTACGATTTTTTTCTCAGAGATCGTGCCAACTGAGTATTGGGATTTTCCTTCGCAAGTAAAACAATTGCACGAAATTAATAAAAATTGTTTAAAATTAGTGTCTAGCCGCCATAAAGTACAAAACAAATGCAAAGAAGATCGAAAATCGAATGCAATTCATAATAAAAAAAAAAGTCACTAGTATTTTTAATGCAATATTGCCAACAGCAGTGTTTTCTGCATACACTTGCACCCAGAACTCTCTTGGCTCCCTTCCTAGTATTTAATAATCACAGTCCTGTCTCCACTGATGTCCAGAAGGGTTTCAAATAGTAGGTACTGTTCGGACCACATGAAAACGGGTCTGAAGCCATCCTCAGAGTCAATGTTGGGAAAATATTCGACAGTGGTTTTTTCTAAACCTTCCAAGTTAACGCTGCTAATGCGGTTAACAGTAAGAAAATGATTTTTACAGCCAATTTCACGAAAGCAATTTAAGTGACAAATTATTTGAATTTTTTATTTTTTTTTTATACGGAAATTGCTAGTGAAACCGGCTGTCATCAGTTTTCTTAGTATTAACTTCGAAGTTACATACGTTTTTCTGATTACTTTGTTTATTTATGGGGTTTGCAAGCAAATTGCTAGAAATTCTAAAATATACATTTCACCAATAAAAAAAATCTCGACGTGCTAGAAAAAAACAGAGATGTATTTTAATGTCGCAGGCTACTGTTATCTTCGCAGCGTCATCTAATACGGGTTTTAAATCTAGTGGCGACATCTTTCTAGTCGCAGGGAATACTGAGGGATCATACAGTGACTCCTCGTGGCGTTTTCTGCCTCTTGCTTCATCATATACGTCGCTCCTTTCGTTTTTCCAACCACCGCAAATATCCGCACACTCGCTCCATTTCAAAGCATTGTTCTGTACAAATTCGTCGATAGCTTTAGAAATTTCGTCGCTAGTGGCGTAAGTCTGAAGTACTTCGTTCTTCTTCGATTTGCATTGCAAATGGGTAAGAAAAATGCACGAAACGCGGATTAGGTTTACAAAAGTACCGAAAGTGGTTGTGAAAAGGGTACGTTTTCGGCTATTTTTCTGAAAATTTTCTGATTCAATTTTACGTTGACACAACGTACTGGGGAACTACGCTTAAGAGCGAAATATCTCTTTGCTACATGCTATTTGTGTTGTGTATGGGGTTTGACGAGCCGCTGAAGGTAATTTTAATAAAAATCAAAATTTTTTGATTTTCTGGCCGCCATGTTGAAGTTTGATCAAATCGCTTGCGTTGTGTATGGAAAGTCTAAAGAATTTGCCCGCACCACTAGTATACTCTAGCCACTAGCGGCACCCCAGGCTTACGCTCGTGGCACCCCAGGGTGCCGCGTCACCCACTTTGGGAAGGCCTGGTGTACAAATCCAATAGATAAGCGTTGTGGCCTTTGAATTCACCCAAGTGAAAAGTGTAAAGTAAAAATAAACTGTTGCACCATTGCAAATTTGCTCGATAATTTTTTGTTGATGCAGCGCTACAAGTTTATAATCGTATAT